CCCCAAAACCCCAAAACCCCAAAACCCCAAATGGTCCAAAAAAGGTTGATAAAGAAATAATTATGTATGCTGAATAAATATATTTTAAGACTTGATGATAAACCAGCCTGACTACTCTGCCGGCAAGTTCGACTTGAACCAAGAGGACTATATTTATGCCGATAATGTCTTCTCAAGTATTGCACACACAAATATGGTAGGTTACTCAGCCTGGCTGGGGATTTGTTCAGAGAGAAATATTAGCAATACAGAAGAAATACGGGAATTTTGTGGGGATTTTGGATTTTTGAGGGAGCTTTGGTTGAACTTATAGAGTGATAACTTCTTCTTACTCAAATCTGAAGAGACTGAAGGGAAATTAAAAGTAAATGAAAGTGAGAGTATTGAAAGTGGGCTTAATGAAGCAGGGCCAAGCAAGAAGGCTTGTAATTTTATGAAACTGGGCATACATAATAAAGATTCCATGCTTCCATCTTCTGATGATAATCTTTGTATTGAGGAACCAAATTTAAAAGATAAATCCCTTACAAAGCCTGATTTTCTTCTTGCACATGATTCGTCGAAAGAAGAACAAAAGGAGTTAATTGTTGAGTCCAAAGAGGGAGATATTCAGAAAACTTATAATCACGCTGGAAATACTCTTACAGCAGCCGACCGAGTTGACTTCAAACTAAGAAACTCTCTTAGGTTTCTGAGAAGATATTTCCTTCAGCTCTACAAACAAGCCAACCGCAGAATTGTTCAGAAACGCTATGTGAACTGCAGCACCAGACAGATTGTGGACTCTGTAAGAGCGACTTTGGAGCAGAGCTTTCAAAATATGGAAGTTTCTGAAGACCTGGCCAAATACACAGCAGGAATCCTTAGCTTGAAGTCTTCGAGTAGTCTCAAATGCTCTAGTCAAGTCTCTCAAGAGATTCGCTTGTTTCTCGAAGCTGTCCGTAAATTTAGGCTGAAGAATTTCAAGAGGCTCATGGCATCTGCCAACTTACAAACATTGTGAAGACACTTGATGGCCAGTTGACAAGATGATAAAATTGATGTTCTGAGGCAAGCATTGAGGATGGATTAATCGATCATTAGAAGTTCATAATAATTTATGCTAACCAGTTTTCTTAAAATCAAGTTATTTACTAGGTTGGCCAATAACAGCATTCATAACACTAAAATCTTTTATGGCTTTGTCTTTGTGGATACCTCTTATTAAGAATAACTAGTGGACCTCCAATTTTAACCCTGAACTCTATTCACTAAGAGAAGAAGCAGACAGGGCTTCTGGCTTTCTTCTCAAATAAGGGCGTGTTAAATTTAAAAGCATTAAATAGCAAGCTCATTAAACAGTTTCAAATTTTTAACGATTCCTTTAGCACTATTATTATTTGATAAGCAGGGCTCTCCTGTGAACAAAATGGAATCTGGGGAATTTACTGCTAATTCCATAAGAAATCTGAGGATGCTTCTAAGTTGCGAGGTTTCAGGCCAATACTATAGTCAATCTTTAACCCCATATCTTCCCCTTACTAGCTTCAGCAGGTTCTTACTTCAGCCACTAATAATTTTGGACTAAAGCTAGATTCTGAACTGAGACTTTAAAGGAACTTATGACCGTTAATAATTAAGGGAAAGGATTAGTCGATAAAGAACAAAATTCTGAAGGGTTTAAGCTAAAGTAATTTGTTCCTCACAACACCACAAGCGATGAGTTACGATTTTAGTATTCATTTCAAAGCGGAAATTCTCTTCGCTTTTTGTAGCTTAGGAGCTGCTCTCACTACATAATATTTTCGCTCAATTTTAATAATAGAAAAATAGCTTGTCTATATTATAAAGCAAATCTTAGAAGTCTTCAGAACTTGTATCGGCTTCTTTCGGTAAAAAAATTCAGCAAAAATTAAAGTTTAGGCTAGCTTTGAAATTCTGAGTTTGTACCATTTTGTGTAAAACAACAAATTTTGATATAAGCCTCTACATATTTTTCCAAAAGCTAAGGAGCATTCCTAGTATATTTCCAAACGACGAGTAAGTTTCTCCACATTTCTGTTAATGAGCTCGGATAAAGCTGGTAACTGACTTTATAAAAATTTAGCATTATAGAAAATTAAACCTGGAAATACTCATCACTCTAAAACTTCTCAACTCAAGGAAATGACGATATGGCCAAGCAGGAGGAGGTCTATATGCAAGAGTAATATCAGAGTCAACCATGAGGCAGCTTTGGCTACATTTTCATGCTTTGTATAATGACTTCTTCGAAATATTTCTTACTTACTCAGCAAGGCTTCATTAAAAATAACTAGCCTTCCAAGTTATTATAAGCACACGTGTCAAAGTCAGTAAAGTGTCTTATTTATAGTTAAAGGCTCCATCAAGCTGAGTAATGTTTATGGACTTGCTGTTAAGTCGAGAGCAACCAAATGCTGGCCCAAGTATCCCTTGGAGAGTAATGACTATCTTTATAATCTCTGGTTTATGCCTTTTCCAAAAACTCTGATGATTTTTGAGGGTCATGAACTGAGTAAAAGTTAAATATTGTGATACCCAAATAACTAAAGGACTTATAGTGCTTTCGAATTTGATTTAATTACTTAAACTTTTCTGATAAAGCCCCTCATTGTTTGTATCTTAAGGAGATGCGTAATTGACCAATCCTCTATTTCAATTAATTTTCTTTCTTTTTCAAGCCTGAATATCTTTAAAACTGTGTTTCTATTGTATTTTATGAATGAAAATCTATCTGAGCATCCTCATCTGGATAATTGATATTTATTAATGAGTAGGGTTATCATACTCCTTCACTTTTCAATTTAGGCCTATCTCTAATTTTTATAGAGCAAATTAATAGCTTAATTATGGTTAAATCTCTAATATTTTGTTCTCCATAAACACAAGCTTTGGAAGTATCAGTTTAAGCTCTTTAGAGTGTGGGATCAATGTATCAACTCATCGCACTTTGATGCTATTTCTATGACAATTCTTATCCATAATTTTAATTGACTTCATCCACAGAGTTGAAAAATATCTTGAAATTCGATTTATATCACTTAGTAAGAGCCCGAAAGTGATACTTCTTTGAAGTTCTTACCTTGCTTTGGCCTTCCTTTTGCCATATTCTCAATGTCCATTTCTTAACACAACAAGAGTTACTAACTGGTTTATCTTGAGTATACTTCCATCAATAAAATACACAGTTTTTCTAAACTAACCTCAAAATCCTCTCTCAAGCATAAACCAGGCCAATTGTCCTCCCTCTATAAGATCCCCCATCCAGACACACTCCCTCTTTTCTCCCTACTTGGTTCGATCTTCTCTCCTGCACAGTCTGGGCTAAGACTCCAGTCAGCTTCGGCGAAGCTAGCTTGGCTGGGAAGCACTTCTGGACTGTGGCCTCAGTAGAGTGACTTGGCCAGGCTGCCTCTGGGAAGGACACTGGGAGCTGAGTGGAGGTGGGATTGGTGTAGTCCTGGATTGTAGGCATAGAAACGAAGGCTTAGTAGTTTAGAGAGTGGTTTTACCAGTTTGGGGGATTTTAAACAGCCTTATATGAGTTAATGTGGTAATATATTGAGCCACTTTGATTTCTTTCCATTATAAGTTTGTTAATTGGAATTTCAGTAGTGTTTCTATCAGGAGAAATATCTTGGGGTTTTGGGGTTTTGGGGTTTTGGGGTTTTGGGG